AAAGTACAAATAAACAGACAAAAATGTACTCTAGTAAAAGTAGAAGTACAACATTAACATGTTTACTCAAGTAAAAGTAAATAAGTACTTGCTTTTAAAATACTTAAAGTATTAAAAGTAAAAGTACTTCCTAATTACATAATGCAATGGTCTACATATCTTTAAGTGTACCTACAGTATGTATACTTTCTGTAATACATTAATAGTGTTGCGCCATTTTAATGAACAATGCTGCAGATAATACATGCTTTTATTGTGTTTACTCTGTGACACATTTCACACTTGGACTCGTGATTCTGTGCATCAGAATTTCAGGGATGACATGCAGAGTTAAATGTCATTAAGCAAAATAAGAAAGAGGAATGATTATACCTTTGAAAGTTTTTATTTAACACAAAGCAAAACCAATGTGTCATTTTAACTGCAGTAAACACAAAAAGTTGTCTGCCTGAACAAAAGTGGCATTAGACACAACTGACAAAGGAACAGACTGATCATTTCAACTGACTCCAGTTTGTCATCAACTCTAGTTAAAATACTATCTATTCAACCTTGTAATGGGTCAATAATGAACAATATTTTAACTTCCTAGGCAGCACGGTGGTGCAACTGGTAGAGCTGCTGCCTCTCAGCGAGAAGGTCCTTGGTTCAAACCCCGGTCCAGGGGCCTTTCTGGGTGGAGTTTGCATGTTCTCTCCGTGCATGCGTGGGTTTTCTCCGGGTGCTCCGGTTTCCTCCCACAGACCAAAAACATGCATGTTAAGCTGATTGGTAACTCTAAATTGTCCCTAGGTGTGTGAGAGAGTGAATGGTTGTTTGTCTCGTTTGTCTCTATGTGGCCCTGTGATGGACTTGCGACCTGTCCAGGGTGTACCCCGCCCCTCGCACAGTGATTGCTGGACATGGGCACCAGCGACCCCCGTGACCCAAAATGGAATAAACGGGTAAAGATAATGGATGGATGGATGGATTTTAACTTCCTGACACCATTTTTAAAACTTGGACCATAGTGTCGAGCCATTTGGAGACATCTCTTGTCTCCTAACATCCATGAACTGACACAAGAATTTCTTGTTCAAGTTCAGAAGAAGTTGGTTTTCAAAGATTTTTGAGTTCAATCTGGCTCTTTTGGGAGAGAGAATCTGTCCTGTTGTACTGAGCAGTCTTTCAATAAGGACATGGGTGGAGCATATCTTCTGGCTGACTCTCTTGCGGTGGAATACATTTTGGGTGTGTTAGTGGTGCTGCGGGTGCATCCAGTTCAGTGACATACATAGTAGAATATATGTCATTGGCCCAGCTCTTCTTGAAGGTGGGTCTAACGTTACCTGCCCACTTTGCAGTGATTCAATGGACCAGCTCCCCTCTCACCATTGGTTACTTTCAAAGTAACAAACAAATCAAAAAGCCGCAACAT